ATCTCAGAGTTCTCACTTTAATCTCAGAGTTCGGACTTTAATCTAAGAATTCTGACTTTAATCTCAGAGTTCTGACTTTAATCTCAGAATTCTGACTTTAATCTCAGAATTCTGATTTTAATCTCAGAGTTCTGATTTTAATCTCAGAGTTCAGACTTTAATCTCAGAATTCTGATTTTAATCTCAGAGTTCAGACTTTAATCTCAGACTTCTGACTTTAATCTCAGAGTTCTGACTTTAATCTCAGAATTCTGACTTTAATCTCAGAATTCTGACTTTAATCTCAGAGTTCTGACTTTAATCTCAGAATTCTGACTTTAATCTCAGAGTTCTGACTTTAATCTCAGAATTCTGACTTTAATCTCAGAGTTCTGACTTTAATCTCAGATTTCAGACTTTAATCTCAGAGTTCTGACTTTAATCTCAGAGTTCAGACTTTAATCTCAGAGTTCTAAATTTAATCTCAGAGTTCAGACGTTAATCTCAGAGTTCTAAATTTAATCTCAGAGTTCTGACTTTATTCTCAGAGTTCTGACTTTAATCTCAGAGTTATGACTTTAATCTCAGAGTTATGACTTTAATATCAGAGTTCTAAATTTAATCTCCGAGTTATGACTTTAATCTCAGAGTTCTGACTTTAATCTCAGAGTTCTGAATTTAATCTCAGAGTTCTGACTTTAATCTCAGAGTTCTGACTTTAATCTCAGAATTTTAACTTTAATCTCAGAGTTCAGACTTTAATCTCAGAGTTCTGACTTTATTCTCAGAGTTCTGACTTTAATTCCAAAATTCTAACTTTAATCTCAGAGTTCTGACTTTAATCTCAGAGTTCTGACTTTAATCTCAGAATTCTGATTTTAATCTCAGAGTTCAGACTTTAATCTCAGAGTTCTGACTTTAATCTCAGAGTTATGACTTTAATCTCAGAGTTCTGACTTTAATCTCAGAGTTCTGAATTTAATCTCAGAGTTCTGACTTTAATCTCAGAGTTCTGACTTTAATCTCAGAATTTTAACTTTAATCTCAGAGTTCAGACTTTAATCTCAGAGTTCTGACTTTATTCTCAGAGTTCTGACTTTAATTCCAAAATTCTAACTTTAATCTCAGAGTTCTGACTTTAATCTCAGAATTCTGATTTTAATCTCAGAGTTCAGACTTTAATCTCAGAGTTCTGACTTTAATCTCAGAGTTCAGACTTTAATCTCAGAGTTCAGACTTTAATCTCAGAGTTCTGACTTTATTCTCAGAGTTCTGACTTTAATCTCAGAGTTCTGACTTTAATCTCAGAGTTCTGACTTTAATCTCAGAGTTCTGAATTTAATCTCAGAGTTCTGACTTTAATCTCAGAGTTCTGACTTTAATCTCAGAATTTTAACTTTAATCTCAGAGTTCAGACTTTAATCTCAGAGTTCTGACTTTATCCTCAGAGTTCTGACTTTAATCCCAAAATTCTAACTTTAATCTCAGAGTTCAGACTTTAATCTCAGAGTTTTGACTTTTATCTCAGAGTTCTGACTTTAATCTCAGAATTCTGACTTTAATCTCAGAGTTCAGACTTTAATCTCAGAGTTCAGACTTTAATCTCAGAGTTCTGACTTTAATCTCAGAGTTCTGACTTTAATCTCAGAATTCTGACTTTAATCTCAGAGTTCAGACTTTAATCTCAGAGTTCAGACTTTAATCTCAGAGTTCTGACTTTATTCTCAGAGTTCTGACTTTAATCTCAGAGTTCTGACTTTATTCTCAGAGTTCTGACTTTAATCTCAGAGTTCTGACTTTAATCTCAGAGTTCTGACTTTAATCTCAGAGTTCTGAATTTAATCTCAGAGTTCTGACTTTATTCTCAGAGTTCTGACTTTAATCTCAGAGTTCTGACTTTATTCTCAGAGTTCTGACTTTAATCTCAGAGTTCTGACTTTATTCTCAGAATTCTCACTTTAATCTCAGAATTTTAACTTTAATCTCAGAATTCTAACTTTAATCTCAGAGTTCTCACTTTAATTCTGACTTGTTTTATATATTAAACTGAAATAAAATTCAAAAATCAGTTAAGTTAATCAGCGCTTTCTCAACCCCTCCATCTGGGGTGTCTGAGCTTCACTTATAACCGGATAGAATTGTGATGTCCTACTACTGCAGGGCGTGAGACAGATCTCCTGAAACCTTCCTGGATGGGAAGAGAAACACCTCCAAACCTGAAAAAAAAGTCCAGCGATTTTGTTTTTAACTAAACAACAAAGAACTGGATGACAGAGAATCATCACCAACATATGTTACACCTAAAAGCAAAAAGTCAGCATGATGACATCATAGCATAGAAAAACAATAAACAGTTTATGTGCTTCTATTGCATTTCCTTCTTTTTACAGCAATCTAACTGAAGCGGTAAACTGGGATATTTGGAAAGCAGCTCTTTGATCAGTGAATTTCAATGGGTTTACTTAGGCGCCTCTAGTGGTAGAGGAAAGATTTACAATCACAAATGTTATTTTATTGTTTTTCAGGACTGGACAAAGAATTTGCATTATTTTAATTTTTATTTAAAAAGTTTTTTCTTCTGTAGTTTAGGCTGCAGAGCCACATTAGACAGCTGGTGGAGAAGATGACATCAGTGGGATTACTCTGCCTCATTGGGCCACTATCAGAACTGATGGGATGCTCTTTGCATCTATTCACTGCTGCCATGCACTTTATCAAAAGCTGCCTAAGCCGACTAATCTTCCCAAATCCCTGTCACCTTCACTCCTGACCTGGATCACGGGCCGTAGCGGGACCCCATCCTCTGCAGCCTCTAAACATAGGCTGGATTATGTGTTTGTTTTGATCATTTTTCTCTAATCCATGCATGGTGTTTGGATTAAAGTGGAGGTGAAAACATCATCAGGTATGAATGCATAGATGTTTTAATGAACAGAAGACTGTCTAGCATTTGATTGTGACTGAATACAGCGTGTAGTTTCTGCAGCATAAACTGACTGATATCACTCCCACAGTAAAACCATGTAGATGTTGACATGGAAAGAAAAGGTAGTAAGCAGGGTCCGATATTAACTTTTTTACTCACCGACCGAAAGGACCAGAGGAGAATTTTATTTACCGACCAGCGGAAAAAAAAAAAAAATATATATATATATATATATATATATTTTTTTTTTTAAAGAAACATATTATTTCTCTAAGGCATTACAGCAGTAGCCATTCAAAATGTCCCCACTTTCGTTGATGGGTCCTTGTCTGGTCCTTGGCTGTTCCTTAGCTGGTCCTTGTCTGGTCCTTGGCTGTTCCTTAGCTGGTCCTTGGCTGTTCCTTAGCTGGTCCTTGTCTGATCCTTGGCTGTTCCTTAGCTGGTCCTTGGCTGTTCCTTAGCTGGTCCTTGGTATGTTCTTAGCTGGTCCTTGGTTGGTCCTTGGCTGGTCCTTCTCTGTTCCTTAGCTGGTCCTTGTCTGGTCCTTGGCTGTTCCTTAGCTGGTCCTTGGCTGGTCCATGGTTGGTCCTTGGCTGGTCCATGGTTGGTCCTTAGCTGGTCCTTGGCTGGTTCTTGGCATGTTCTTTGCTGGTCTTTGGCTGGTGATCGATTGGTCCTTGGTATGTTCTTAGCTGGTCCTTGTCTGGTCCTTGGCTGTTCCTTAGCTGGTCCTTGGCTGGTCCTTGGCTGGTCCTTAGCTGGTCCTTGGCTGTTCCTTGGCTGTTCTAAGCTGGTCCTTGGCTGTTCCTTATTATGTCCTTGGCTGTTCCTTGGCTGTTCCTTAGCTGGTCCTTGGTATGTTCTTTGCTGGTCCTTAGCTGGTCCTCGGTTGGTCCTTGGTATGTTCTTAGCTGGTCCTTGGCATGTTCTTTGCTGTTCCTTAGCTGGTCCTTGGCTGGTCCTTGGCTGGTCCTTAGCTGGTCCTTGGCTGTTCCTTGGCTGTTCTAAGCTGGTCCTTGGCTGTTCCTTATTATGTCCTTGGCTGTTCCTTGGCTGTTCCTTAGCTGGTCCTTGGTATGTTCTTTGCTGGTCCTTAGCTGGTCCTCGGTTGGTCCTTGGTATGTTCTTAGCTGGTCCTTGGTATGTTCTTAGCTGGTCCTTGGTTGGTCCTTGGCTTGTCCTTGGTATGTTCTTAGCTGGTCCTTGGCATGTTCTTTGCTGGTCCTTAGCTGGTCCTCGGTTGGTCCTTGGTATGTTCTTAGCTGGTCCTTAGCTGGTCCTTGGCTCGTCCTTGGTATGTTCTTAGCTGGTCCTTGGTTGGTCCTTGGTATGTTCTTAGCTGGTCCTTGGTTGGTCCTTGGTATGTTCTTAGCTGGTCCTTGGTTGGTCCTTGGTATGTTCTTTCTTGGCTGGTCTTCGGTAACTTCTTGGCTGGTCCCCAAAAATTCCTTTCTAAATATCAATATTTGTGCAAAAATATTCTTTCTGTCCTGATTTGTGGACATTAAGATCTAAAGAGAAGCACCATCTCCTGGTCGGACCCTTCTGGTCCTTGGTGGTCTACGTTGATCCGTTCAGATCAAGACAGGATTGAGCTGGTTGCTCACAATGCTGTCAAACACGGTGATGGCAGCATTATGCTGTAGGGCTGGGCCACGTCCGTGGTATGAAGTGAATGAAGGAATAAACTTGGACACAGTTGGGCGCTGTGGTATCTTATTAATCCAAAACAAAGATCCAAAGTGGCTAAGGTAGAAACCATGAGGAGAGACTAAACCCTGAACACTTGTTGAATTTTAATCTACGTCATATTTTAATCTAGGTCAGATTAAAATACGGATTCTGATTAAATATGATAACAGACATTTTAGCACAGCTGTAAATAACTACACTGAGCAAAGGCTTCAGTCATGCTGTTTGCACGGATAATTCCACCCATCATTTCACACATTAATCTGACTCCTTATTTGATAAATAAGTTAGAAACTGGGACCCTGCAGTCTACCCATTCTAACCAGTTTAACCAGTTTAATCTAACAGGTTAAAGAGAGAGAGGAAAAGGTTTAAAATGTCAGGGGGTGAAGATGTGTCTGACCTGCTGGTGGAGCATTCTTAGATCCTGGCGGCTGATCGGGTGGACCTGCTGCACTGAGGGCTGTGGGGAGAACGAGCAGCACCCTGGGAAAGCAGAGACCCCCCACCCCCACCCCCCGCCTCCGTAACAAAGCAGAGGATCAGTGTTCAGTCGTCTGTGCGCTGATCTGTCTGGCTGCTATAGTTAATCCAGAAATGCGTTTCTATTCACCAGAGGAGACAGTGCAAAGCTCCAAACCACTGAAACGCTTCAGTTTAGATGCCTCTGATGTGCGCGTTGGTGACCCGACTGCTGCCACACAGAACCAGCAGAACCCCCGTACACGGAGGCTTTCTGTCACATCTCAGGTTACTAAGATCCCTCATCAAATTTTGATCAGCTCAGTTGGCCCAGCGGGGAGGCGAGGTCGGCTCTGGAACAGAGGTTCCTGACGACTGTCTCCCTGCAGTCCCACAGCTGACCCCCCTCCACCTCCATCACCGCCACCAAACCCACACAGGTGGATTCAGCTGGACTGAATTCTCCTTTCTGGTTTCAGCCATGCTCCTGCTAAGGTCGACAGCCATCAATAATCCACAGCTTCAGCTCAGGTTCCCGCCTCAGATTACAGAGCCTGAGCCAAGACTAAAGTGGACAGATCTCCTCTTAAATGGGCCGAGCAGCTTCTCCTTATTCAGCTCAAAAGACATCATTTATATATAATATAATGGAGCAAAAACAGCGCCGCTAAAGTTCTGGATATTAGCCTGTGGGAACATTAGGAGAACTGCGATTCAGATGATGATCTTTGGATGGTGCTTGGTTCTGAAGGAGATGGAGCCTTCAGGGAGAATAAAGACCTGAGATCCATCAGATAATCTGGACCCCTTTCAGAAACAAAGGCAAGAGCAATGAAGCAAGGTTGAGTCCGACAGCACACACATGGTTACCTTGCAAGCAACATGAATTGTGGCGAGGTTGTGAATTCACAAATTCCTGTAAATAGATCTTGCCAGGAGCCAACAGATGTTTAATTCCAGCAACCTTAAAAGCTTTAGGTACATATCCCTGTAACAGAGATAGATTAATCACATCTAAAATGGAGGAGGAGATCAAAGGGAATACCTCCTTAAATAATCTGGTTGGAACTGGATCTAACATACAAGTTGAAGGCTTAGATGAAGACAATAATTTTGCTAATTCAGAAAGTTCAACTCAAAGCAGTCTAAACCTGGTTCAGATTCCATGACTACCTCAGGTACAATCGCGGATAGAGGAGTGCTAATGATCTTATTTTTAATAAGATCAATCTTATTTATAAAGAATCTAGATTCCTGACACAGTGACACCACAGCCAGATCAGAGGTTGGGGAAGGAAGGGAAATCTGTTGGAGAGATGTTGGGAGCCCCCCCACCGTACAAACTTGACGCAAAAGAGCAGAAGGATGAATTGGGGGTTCTGACCTGCCTGCAAGGACCATCGAGGATGAAGACTTTGTGGATATGATGAAACAAGCCGAGAAAAGGTTCAATGTGAACAGTGTGATATATGTTAAAAAGAGAATTTGTGTGTAGATAAGTTCTACTCTGCACAGTGTTGACTAAAATTACTAAAATTAGACTAAGACTAACCGTAAAAAAGCTGACAAAATTAACATTGCTGCTAAGAGCAGGTGGAATGGACGGTTCAACAGAGCTATGGTTCTGGGTGAGTTTGGCAACTGTATTAAAAAGAAATCTAGGATTATTCTTATTCTCCTCTATTAATGAGGAGAAGTATGCTGCTCTTGCTTTACAAAGGGTCCTCTTATACAGCAGTAAACCATTTTTCCAGACTAGGAAGGACTCCCGCAGGCCTGTGGAGCGATATTTTCTCTCCAGTTTCCTAGCATTTTGCTTCAAAGTACGCAGCTCTGCATTAAACCAAGGAGCAAGCTTTCTATTTTTAACGGTTTTCATTTTCAAAGGAGCTGCGTTGTCTAAGGCAATACGCAGAGAACTAGCAACCCCATCAACAAAATCATCAACCTGTGAAGGGGAATAAGCTAAGCTTTTGCACTCTGCAGCACTGCTCAGTGACACAGAGCAGAGAGAAAGTGAAGCAGATTCTTTAAAATTTATAACTGCACTATCTGATAAAGATCTACTAAAATTGAACCTTCTTTTGGGGGAGGAGAACTCTGTTAAAGTAATCCTGAAGGTTATTAGAAAGTGGTCAGAGAGGACAGGGTTGTGAGGAAATACTGTTATTTCTTCACATTCTATGCCGTATGTCAGCACAAGATCCAAAGTATGAAGATGAGAATGCGTGGGACTATTCACATTTTGAACAAAGCCAATAGTGTCTAAGATAGCATTAAAGGCTGCTCTTAAGCTATCGCCTTCAATGTCAGCATGGATGTTAAAATCTCCCACTATGATGACCCTGTCAGTATTTAATACCAAATCAGAAAGGAACTCTGAAAACTCATCTAAAAATTCAGAGTAAGGACCTGGTGGACGATACAAAGTTACAAAAAGAAGAGGTTTTCTTGCCTTGAAATTTGGATCAGGGAAATTAAGGGTTAAATGTTCAAAAGAGTTGTAGGAATTAATTGTTTTGGGAGTAATCAGTAAGTCAGACTGGAAGATTGTTGCTACTCCTCCTCCTCGCCCAGAACTTCTGGGGATGTGAAAATTTAAATAGCTTGAAGGAGTTGCCTCATTTATGCTCACATAATCCTCTTGCTGCAGCCAGGTTTCTGTAAGGCAACACAAGTCAATGTGATTATCACAAATCAAGTCATTAACTAGTAGACTTTTAGAGGAAAGCGATCTTATGTTAAACAGACCGCATTTAATTGTTTTAACTTTTTCCCCAATTGGAGTTATTTTGATTTTAATTAGATTATCATGATTTACTCCTTTGGGAATCTTTGCTAATTTATTAGATTTTGGTCGTGGGCAAGACACTGTCTGGATGGAGTAAAGAGTGGGTAACAGTAGAGAAGCTGCAGAGAGGTCTGTTAAACTAGGACTCTGCTTCCTGGTCTGCACCCTGGGGGCTCAGGGTTTTGGAGGACTAATAAATGTGGCCAGATTCCTAGAAAGAAGAGCTGCACCATCCAAAGTGGGATGGATGCCGTCTCTCCGAATCAGACCAGGCTTTCCCCAAAAGGATTGCCAATTATTAATGTAGCCCACGTTGTTTTCAGGACACCACCTAGACAACCAGCGGTGGAATGACGACATGCAGCTAAACATGTCATCACTGGTCAGATCAGGGAGGGGACCAGAGAAAATTATGGTAAAGATGAAAAAATTGATATATTTATTGATAAATTGAAGACTCAAAAGTCTTCCTTCCACTGGAAATACAAGAGGAAATCGACCAGGTACATCTACACTGAATCTCTGACCTTTAGTGGGAAGAAGGGCATTGCATCCTAAAATAACGCATGTCTTCTCTCTGGTGCTAAATTATTTCTTTATTAATTAATTATTTGTTTTATTTGAGAACTGGCTAACCAGTTTAGACTGAGGCGGTGTGCTTCTGGGACTGAAACTGGTTGGAGGCAGCAGTCAATAAGGGTAAAGTGATCAACAATGACTTCCAACGATGCAAAGAGAAGCTTGATGGCTCTATCTTTTATCTTCATTTCCGCATTTTACAATGAAGAAAATGCTTGCTGACAGACTGACTTTCTTTACATCACACCTTATCTATGAGGAATATCAAAAGAGAAAAACAAAAACTGAATTCATAAGGATCCACATAGATGCTTCATTTTTCCCATCTGAAACGGTTTGTGTGGAATTTGGATTGGTAATTGAGAGTAGAATATAGAAACATCGTAAATAAAATACTTAACTTTGAATAAACCAGTACAGTGAATAAATAGTGACCCTGGAAGTGCTTCCTGACACCGACCTGGAATTCCCTGCGGTACCTCTTGGGATCGCTGATCTTCTTGCATGGACTCCTGCAAACGTCTTGGAAACGGGCATTGTCTTTTCCCTCTGGATAGTCCTGCCTTCTTTCATCTGCCGGGATCTGATCTACTGCCAGTTCTGCAATCGCCCAGGCTTCAGCATCTGGAACTCTCTGGGCAGTGTTTGCTACATTGTATTTACAGCCGTTCGGCTGGAATCCACATCTTCCTCAGGTCACAGACTGCACTTTAAGATCAGGTTAGTGACTCACATATTCGTAATCATCCTTCGCCAGACTAACGTAGTCACTAACCCGTGTTTTTCCCCTGCAGAGGTTCCTGCCTTTGACACCGTACCTGCTACCTGCAGATCTGTTGTTTTCAAATAAACCCCCTTTGAAATATTTTACTGTCTGTTTGTCTGAATACTGGGTCGTCTGTCCCTAGCCTTGACATAATAATCTGTCCAAACACGGACCCATCAGCAGACAGACATTGGCTTTCAAATGTAGAAGACTTTATAACACGAATCAGGCATGTGGGAAATCCTGTTACATTTGTATAATCAGGCTCCCCCAGCTCCCACACTTCCACCTACAACCGCTTCCGGTTCTACGTCACCTGCTGTCACATCAACTTGTCAGGAAACACTTCTGCCTCTCCCGGAACTATTTAAGTGTGATGCTGATCAGTGTGGCTTTTCTCGTCCAATTCATTTCAAGCTTCACCCCTCTGCATTTCCTACTGATAAGGCTAATGTAGCCTACGTAATTTCACTATTAGCTTGTAAAGTGAAGCTGTGGGGAACTTCTAAATGGCAAAGCAATTATTGGTTATGTAGCTCCTAAAGTGCCTTTTCACGAAAATAAGTGGTGCTAAGGCTCAGTAGGTAGCGCTGTGGCTCAGTAGGTGGCGCTGTGGCTCAGTAGGTGGCGCTGTGGCTCAGTAGGTAGCGCTGTGGCTCAGTAGGTGGCGCTGTGGCTCAGTAGGTAGCGCTGTGGCTCAGTAGGTAGCGCTGTGGCTCAGTAGGTGGCTCTGTGGCTCAGTAGGTAGCGCTGTGGCTCAGTAGGTAGCGCTGTGGCTCAGTAGGTAGCGCTGTGGCTCAGTAGGTGGCTCTGTGGCTCAGTAGGTGGCGCTGTGGCTCAGTAGGTGGCGCTGTGGCTCAGTAGGTAGCGCTGTGGCTCAGTAGGTGGTGCTGTGGCTCAGTAGGTAGCGCTGTGGCTCAGTAGGTAGCGCTGTGGCTCAGTAGGTAGCGCTGTGGCTCAGTAGGTGGCTCTGTGGCTCAGTAGGTAGCGCTGTGGCTCAGTAGGTGGCGCTGTGGCTCAGTAGGTAGCGCTGTGGCTCAGTAGGTAGTGCTGTGGCTCAGTAGGTGGCTCTGTGGCTCAGTAGGTAGCGCTGTGGCTCAGTAGGTGGCGCTGTGGCTCAGTAGGTAGCGCTGTGGCTCAGTAGGTAGCGCTGTGGC